GTAGTTTGTTGATTGTTTATTGGTAGCGTCCCTTCGCTGCCAAAAATAGTTATTTGGCAGTTTCGTTCCAGGTGACATCGTGAGGGCATGGTGAAGGCGGGTTACGATGGTTGCTCTGTGAAATCGTCTAATTCTGTTAGTACTTGGGTGTTCAGCTGTCTCTTATACACATCTAGATGTGTATAAGAGACAGACCTTACACTTAATTAGTGTAGAAAACTAGATGACGTCGGTAAGATTTCTGTAAAAAAAATAATAATTTACAATGAATATTAATATCAGAATTCTAAAATGCACGGAACTATAATTAGTATTTCATTCATATACAGTACAAATTGTAAATAGGAAGAAAGTTATCGTGCATGATAGAAAGGTAAAACGTTCCCAAAACGTCAAGACAATGAGAGAGGTATGATAGCGTCCCGATTGTTTGTGCACGCCGTGAAATCAGCTGATTGAAGATAATTTCGTACTTGCTGTCTTGATCCAAATTATTGACGCCAGGGATGAGAACTCGTCCAGTACATTACACATGCCATAACAAGGTATTGTATGTACAATGTACTGTATGATGTATTTTGTTTTTGGTTTGCTTTCATCATTCGGCGACGAAGTCAACACAGATATGATCTTCCGGGAACAGGTCAAAACGGCAAAAAACAAAACGGCAATATAAGCAAAACGGCAACACTTTTAGACCAGAACGGCAATAGACCAAAACAAGTCAAAACGGCAATAAGTCAAAACGGCATTAACCAAAACGGCAACACTTCCAGAAGACATTCTGTATGGTAATTGGCAAAATAGCTAAATAAAATACTGTACTTCTAGGCTACTGGCCTTTCTAGAGAATCTAAGAATTCGCCAGATAAGGTGATTTTAGGTGATTTTTAACTAGTTGACCGTGATTTGAAACCAAGTGTCAGTATAATCTTAGGTAATTAAGCATGTGGTTAACAAAGCAAGAATTTATTTCAAGGAACATGTTTATCATCTGATACCTTCCGACGAAAATTGACCCTACCGGCGTCACCATGCGGCGTCCCCACCGATTGATCTAACATGACCTTGTTATGTAGGTCTTTTATAGATTATTGAGAATGGTAATATCACCGAAAAATAGATAAAATGACAGCTGAATGACCAACAAAGACAACTGAAGACAATAGTTTATTAGAAGTTATTTATTATAACTTTATTCGAAAAATTAATCTCAAAATCGAGTTGCCGTCCCCGGCGTTGTCAGTAACGTCGTATGATTCGCGTGCGATTTTACCAACTAACCCCAAAGTAAAAATATTTGAGCCATGCAGTAACTTGCAAATCAATCCAGAAACCGTAGTTTGTTGATTGTTTATTGGTAGCTTCGCTGCCAAAAATAGTTATTTGGCAGTTTCGTTCCAGGTGACATCGTGAGGGCATGGTGAAGGCGGGTTACGATGGATGCTCTGTGAAATCGTCTAATTCTGTTAGTACTTGGGTGTTCAGATTGACCAACATTGTCAGGCGAACTCATTGCTACAGTTTGGCCTATTTCTATAGTTAATTTTCGTATCATATTTCTATATCGTCAGTCACAACAACTTGATTATAATACTGTAGTCGAAAATTACTTATTTTTACTCTGGTTGAAACTACGGATTATGCATCACATGGTTTTCCGAAAAAAAAAAAAAAAAAACTTGGTGGCACATCGATTGAGTATTTTCATTCATCTGGCCATGCAAAGCACCTCTAAAAACAGCCCAAACATATCCATAAATATAATCATAAGAAAAAAGAAATTATACAATAAAATGTTTGTCGAACATGCCCACTCTTGGTTTTTACAATTGTTGATGGTTTGATCAGCAAAACTGGGTTTCGGCAATCTGGCATTTGGCAAACTTGGTTTCATCAAATCTGATATCGGCTCATTCTCATTTACACATTGGTGAGGTGGTAGGACATTGAAAACATTTTACCCAGGAATACAAATAGTTATTACAACATTCGCATACGTTAAAGTTGTGATCTGAGATGCAATACTCGTAAAATCGTGTCAAATTTGCAGATGTGCCTATCTGGTTTAATTTGAATGGATAATGAAACTGCTTAAACTGGGTTGGTGTCCAAGCTGGTAGTTTTTTAGGAATGATCTTAATGTTAATAAAAATAAATAAATAATATTTGATTTCAGGAAAAACACAACTGCAGATGCGATTTAAGGGTAATTTAATTGAAAGAAATGATACAGGCCTACAAATACCAGTGTTTGGGAAGACGAAGATTTAAGCTGCAACACAAACGCAGTAAATTAGTGTTTTGAAAAATCAAATCTTCAGTTTAATGGTTGCTCTGTAAAAATCGTCTAATTCTGTTGAGTACTTGGGTGTTCAGATTGACCAACAATTGTCAGGCGAACTCATTGCTAAATCAGTTAGGCCTATTTCTAGTTAATTCTCGTATCTATATCGTCAGTCACAACAACTTCATTATAATAGTCGAAAATTATTTGTTTTTACTCTGGTTGAACCTACGGATTATGCATCATCTACATGGTTTTCCGAAAAAAAAAACAAAAAAAAAACAAAAAACACCAGATTGACAAATGATTCGTTTTATTTTCAAATATACCGTAATCCTCGTGCACTGTGTTCGTCAATCTGAACTTTAAGAGATATCGGTAGAGCTAATTTTTTAAGATTACGTAGGCCTATTGTGTAGAAAATTTTCAGTCCGGATTTTATTTAACTAAAACTTACTTACAAACAATCTTCATCAAAAATTCACACGCAGCTCAGTTTAGTAAACTTTTGCCCTAGCTTCCACAATATTATAAAGGGAGGTGCTGACACTAAAACTTTATTTCACAGTGTTTATTCCAAATTGGGCTTCGGAGGGGGAGTTTATTTGAGGGTGGGGGTTGCTTATTCAAAGTTTGAGTTTATTCGAAGAAAGCAGTGTAATTCTACAAAACCAATTTGAATTCAACTACAAAGTTTTAGTAACGTAAAATCATGTTAGCTGGGATGCCGTTACTGTAGAGAATTTCTTACTGATTAGTACCGTAAATTATTAATAATCAGAAAGATAAGCTGGCCGTCATTACAAAAAATAAAGGTATGACTACTAGGCAAGAATTCTTTCCGGATAGTCATACCTTAATTTGTTAAGTGTCTGTAATGACGGCCAGAAAGAAGAAGAAAAAAATGTTTGCATCGTCATCATCCAGCATCTCGAAATCTTCCTTCTGAGTGTAAAAATTATGTAGTGTGCCCTCTATATTATAATGTGCTTGAAGCATCTTTTCTGTTCATTTATTATAAATTATAATGCGTTTGATTAAATTGTTTACAAACAATTAAACATTAACATTTGCTTTAGGTGTTGTAATTACAAAAAGCAGTATTGTTACGTGACTTGGTGTAATACCGAAAGAATCATCAACACGGGCCTCATCAGGATAGTTCTTTTCTATCCAATATCTATTCCATGCTTCATTCTTCTTTTAAATATCACATTTAAATATTTTATTTTGTAATTATGAACTAAGAATTTTCTTTCATTTGAAAGTATTACTATAGTATTTGTCCGGAAATCGGTTTGCATGTAGGCCTAGGCCTATTTCGATATACAGGTATTATAAATGCTTATTATTATAATAACTAAATGCATTTCTTTCCTGCTCCGCATTTTCAGCTGGTAGATGGAGACTACGAGCGAATCCGGGGATTAAGCCCACAATTCCATTGCCTTGAATGGATGGCTACACAAACTGTAGGTTAACGATGTTTCGACTGACAATATGACTGGAATATAATGCACATTTCTAACCTGTTAGGCGAGTTTGCAAAGCAGACAGATGGATCATGATGACGACGAAATATTTAAAGAAGAAGATCAATGAATTTACGCAAGGAGGAACTTCGTCAAGTTCGGCAAAACTCGATACAGAAATATCTGAATCGCTACACCCTAACCACTTCACTGTCTGCAAGGTAGGCTAGGCCTAGAGTTGGTTCGCCCCTCCCCCTTCTTCAGCTCGTTAGGACTGCAATATTATAGCCTAGTACTACTAGGCTAGGCATTACTGTATTCATTTTTAATTGTTAGTTTTAATGGTATAAACGTGAAATTGAAACATAATTACCAATATTAGATATTTTAGTCTGATATATTTTGTTTTGTTTTTGATGGACCAACTGTTTTGTTTTCATTCATTTTGTTTTGACATTTGTTGGTTTGTAGACTCTGACACACTGTCTTGGGTAGGCCTAGGCCCTAGGCCTAGTCTGTACTGTATTTTTAAAAAAAAAACTTGTCAACGTCAGTGATGAGCCTAGCCTACGTTTGGCTAGACTCTACTGACTGTAGTCAGATTGGAGGGCCTAGACCCAATAATGGTAAAATTAATAGGCTACACTGGGTGCACGGAGGAGCCACAATCTGTAGTAAAGTAGGCCTAGGCCTATATAGCAGTACGCCTAGCCTTACCAGGCCAGGTAGCCTACAGTATTTTTATTTGATATATAAAAACATTACTCAAATTTGTGCGGAAAATGAATGCGCAGAATCGCATGTACTGCGTATTCATTGTCATATTGAGAGATAAACCAAGTCATTGCATAATTTTCTGCAAAATTTACACTGAGGAGGTCGGCCCTTAATTTCCCAAAATGTGCGAACAGATTTTCCAGGCCTTATTTTACAGTGTGGTGGATGATACGTGACCTCAAGAAAAGATTAGACTCTAGGAAGTATGTCAGATAAATAATTCAACTTGTGTACTTTTGCTAATCTATCCCTTTATTTTACAATTTATTAAAATAAATATTAATCGACTTGCCTAGCACCTAATTTCTGGTAAAAATAGGTAATAGTCCTAGTTACTGATAACACAGCACTACTGTATTCGGGTCCTACTAAACACCACATCGTTGTGAAAATAATATTGTCTTTGCACGAGAGTAGATACTTGTTTTGTTGATGAAAATTAACTTTGATAGGGAATATCAAATAAACGAACATTTTATATTTTACTGCCATGTTTCAGAAAGTAGCAGATTGACATCATCATTTAATGTGTTTACACTCAATATGGGTGAATACAGTGAAATACATGTTGAAATGGTCCTTTTTCCTAAGCCCCGCCTCTTCGATGTTGTTGGCTAAGGACGCACAAAACAACCTTGTAAAACATGTTGCAAATGTATCCGTTTGTGGGAAAACATGTTGATACGACGCATGTATTCCTAGCCCTATTTTGATTGGTCAGTTGTTAAGTTTAACAATCTGGAGCAAGGTCTGTTGTAGTGACCGGTCCAAATGAAAAAAAACCATTAAACAATTTTAAAGGGAAAAAAGCAAACCTATTACATATTAGGCCTACATTTAATATATTTCTGTCTCAGTAAAAATTCATAAATGCAGTGTAGGCCTGAAGTCATTGATTGAATAGTTAGTTGCCACTAACTTTTTTTTTTTTTTGACAAATTTACCAAGTTTAGTTTAGTTCATTTTGTTTTTCTACCTGGCTTAGGAGTATGGGAATATATTATAACATGATTTCAAATATAAAAAAATATGTTAAATAATTAAAATAATTATTTTTTCTTTATTTAGCATAGGCAGTTCATATGCTAATTTACATAATTAACATTAACACCAATTAAATTGAATTGTCTTTTAATTAATCCCAGATTTGTTTATAATTTGTTGTTAAAAAATAATTTGATTAAAATATATTGTGAGTACAAATTGGCTACACTTAACATTTACTGTATGTTAATCACTCTCTAGCTTGAGGCTAAATTCGTATATTGATCATATATAGTGCACATCTGGCCTTCCGATCGAACATAACAAAATATAGATAATATTCTATATGTAAGCCCATCTGTCCTGCGTTTACTTGATTTTGACTCTTCTCTAAATTCTATAAACAAAAATTCAATATCTTGGCCAGAAAATTAATTTGTTGATTGTGTTGTGATTTAGGATCAGCAGTTATGTAGACAATGTGTTTGTGGAATAGGTTGCCAAGTGTTTAAATTAACTTTTAATTATAGGTACTACACATTATTTTGGGTACAAGCAGTGTGTTACAATAATGACTATTTGCAAATTTAAGGAAAATTTGAAATGTACATAATCATTTAAAAATATGAACACTTTATTTAAATATTTAAAATACACCATTTAAATCAGTTAAAATTAGAAAGCTGGAGAACACATTAAAATATTAAAATACAGAAGGAAAATGTACAAAAAATGAAATACGATTTAAAGAACAACAATAACAACTATAATATTTATATTGAAAATGGTACAAAAGGAAGACATAAAAATAAATTAAAGCTATTTAATACTGAGTTAAGCCTACAGGAGTCAGGAGTTTTGGCTAGGGGGAAAACTCACAAAAAGGACATCACCACTTGGCAATTACCCCATGGTTTAAAATGAAGTCACAAAACCGCTTTGTTTTCACTTTTTGAGCATTTTGAGCACTATCTAGGAAGACTCATAGTTAGCTCGGGTCTAAGCAGTACAGTATTAAGATGTTAACATTTAGTAGATTAGATATTTGAAATGTGAACATGTTTGCTTTAAAAAATCAAAAGAATGATGATATTTTAAAATCCAAATTACTAATGCATATTTTTAATTTGGCGTCAGCATTGTGATGCATCTCAAAAATTAGGAAAACGCCTACCGTCAATCTAGATACTTTTCAGTGGGCGTTTTACGTCTGTTTGAGTAAGTTCATTTATTTACTGGATAAGACAATTCCATGACAGTAATGCAAAGTCATGATGAATTAAATATTTCAAACCATATCTTTAGGAATATCGTAGACTTTCCTCGGGTAACAACCCACATTGGTGGCAAGGCCACCCCCAGATCTACATACTAGTTTACTAGCCTTTTCTTGGGCAAAATTCCATTGTATGATATGAATTCAGAGTAGCTTCACTGACTTTTACAATACTTTAAAAACAAGAGCAACTGCTCACCACTCTGTGCATTCCTCTATGCTTAAATACCGGCGCAAGTTATTATATTGATCACAATTTTTAAATACTTAGAATGTTTATTTGTACAAAACAAATTATTATTATTTAGTTCATTTGTACTTGTGATTAGAATATCTTAAAATTGAGAAAAACAAAATTTCTTAAAATTAGAAAAAAAAATAATTTAATACCAAGACAAGATTCGAACTCACAACCTTAAGTTCTTTAGAACACATCCTTAACCAACCACGCCATCATCCATGCGACATGCCCTATATAGTAATGGCAGTAATGTACAGTCCCTGCTGAAAAACCTGTTTTATTTTGTAGGTGTAGGGGAACCAACTTAAAAAAGGGCAATGAACACTTGTTGGAAATCACCTCTAGTTGATGTATACAAAATTTCCTGCTTGTCCGTTCAAAACTGACGACTCTGGATGCTTTTAAAGTTCTAGTTAACAAGAACAAGAACAGTAGTGATGCTCTCGGGTCAGCTCCTTGTGTGGACCAAAAAAGTCATAGATTAGCTTGAATTTAGTGATGAAAGAGGATAATCTATATACAGTATATATAATCTAATCTACTAAAATTGCCCTATTTTTGTGTTCGATGGGAGGGCTTATTATACTAGCAGAACTGTGGTATAATTATTTGTGTACATTGTGGCTACCTATTAAGGAATTCTTAAGGTGTTCTTTTTTTAAAACTCTGCTCCAAAGCAAAGACTGATTTGCTTAGCTTTACAAATTGTAGGCCTATTTCAAAATAGAGCAAAAAGGTTTCCCTGCCTCTATCGTTTTTTGCCACACCTCATTTTTGTGCATTTTTGTTTCAAAATAAATTGTTTGTGTCTTAGTGTACTTTGTGAATGCTTGTATAAAAATGCTATAGTAATTGCTACAATACAAATGTTTATTTTACAAAAATTGCTATGAATTTACTGTACACATGAACATCACTGGAATTAGCAATATTCAATTTTTGTCTGTGTAGATCCAATACAAACTGCACTAACTAGCCTCATACATTTTCATCAGAGAAAGTTGACAGCCTTGAAAAGGACTCTTTCAAGATGGTTAAAATACCTGACGTTCATTTTTTAAGTTGCTATGTAGAATATCTTAAACTTTGATTCCAACATAAGTTTACTTTTAACTGGTTTTCGGCAAAAAGCTTATGCCTTCTTTCGGCAAACTGCTGTTTAATTTGCTGTACTATAGTGTTGTGTGACAATAAACCTTTCCGGAATGTCAATCAAACTTAACAAAACTGACTAACCATAACAGTGCTAGGAATACGTGCGCGTCTCACAAACACACATGTTGTCGCACAAGCGCACATGTTCTCGTGTCTTTTAACACAGTCATCTTGTGAGACCCTAGCAACCATATCCAAGGGGCGTGGCTTAGCGCAAAGGTCCATTGGTACACTGGCCGTAAACAGCGTATAGTTTTTTTTTTTAACTTGGCATTTCGTAAGAAAATTTTACATTGTTTTCTCACATGACAAGATAGACACAATTACAGGAAGTGCACGTTCATCCAAGTCAATAAACATATAACATATCTATATCGTGCCTGTGTACAACACAAATTTTGACCAGCCATGCTGTACATGCTTCTTTGCCTTGTGGTTATATCCACTGTTGTTGTACGTTTGAGATTGAAAAATAAAAATAAAAATTCAGCCTCCCTTCCGATATTTGAACTTGTGGATGATAGACAAAACAATCCAAAACATAGAGTTAATAAATACTTTTTATAATTTTTTTTCCCCTTCATAATCTCTACAAGTGTATTTGAATAAGTTGGTGTTTAAGATGCTTGCCTTGCAATCCCATGGTCCTGGTTTCAATCCCTGTCAGTCTTGTCTTGCAAGATTTTTTTTCTCACAACCAAAACAAATCCACTCCCTAAACATTGGGATTTACTTCATGTGTAAAAGAAGGTCTCTTACAAGTAAGATATGTCCACTATTGACTATATCCTAGGTGCATTTGCTGTGTGCCTAAATAAATGAAAATAAAATAATAAGTCATATTTTCTACTGTATAAGTTGAGGCATGTCTCTGACACTTTTTCTTACTGCATTTCAGGTTGTGCGCCATGGCTTCCCTTACGAGCCGACAGCGATGGCATATGATCCCGTTCAGAATATTCTGGCGATTGGAACCAAGAATGGGTCCCTGAGGATGTATCCTTATACATTACTGAAATTGTGTTTCTTAGGTAATACTACTAACATAATATGAGTTGTGTCCTGTTTCTATGAATATTGAAGATGACATTAAACTTTTCATACCTTTTATCTGACATTTATTTGCTGGCATCGGTAAGTAGTATTTCGATTTGGTTTTTCTGCATTTTTATAAAAAATGTATTATTAACTAAAAATGACCTATACCTTTATAAAGGTACGTGGACAAGTGTTCAGTGAATAATGATAATGACTGTAACATCATGTTGGTTTTTTATTTTATAGGAATATCATTTATTATGCTAATTGAAATAATAATTTAAAAGCAAAGATTTATGTTAACCTTTGCAAGCTGTTATGTTATCAGACATCAATTATGGTTTAATTTATAAGTTGATAAATTCTTTAAGTTCATTCAAAAACCTGATTAAATTCAATATTTTTGTATTTAGTCTGATTATTTAATAATTAATTTTTACATTGATTATTATTGTTACTACTACTAACTACTACTGTTAATCCTTCATACATTCTATTTATTGTTAAATGTATATTTGTTGATTTAATAAGCAGTCATTTTATTTTCTTTCTTTAAAAATTAAAAATAGAATTCCTGCTTACTTTTGTTTATTTGATGTGCTTAGTGCATTCTTTATAAATAATTTCATTCATTGCCTTTATAAAAAGTGTTTCCTTAAATTAAAAAAAACCCCAAAAAATTGTTAATTAAAATCAGTGTTTATTAGGGAAGTTCTAAATATTTCGATGAAAGTTCGTGTCAGGAAAATATTATAGGAGTGATGCTTTTACCCTACCTGACGTGTTATCGTACCGAATACTCAGTAGGTTTCCAAACACTTGCGAAAATAATCGCATGTCATTTGAGTGGGAAGTTCTAAATGATACACAAATAATTGTTGAACAGTAATTCTAAGTGATGATATTATGTTTTTTTTTTTCACTATTAGTATTAAAGCATTTAGCAGGCAAACCAAAGCTAAATTGCAATGCCAACTTGTTGACAATGTTTATACTGTACTCGTAGTGTTAATTACTAGATAATCCCATATTACACACTACTAGATATGACTCAGTAAACATGATAAAATTTGCATTAGCGAGCAACATTTGCCATTAGATCTATAGATACTGAATAATGTAGCAGCATAGTACAGTAGTATGAGTGCTTTATAGATTGCATACCAACTATCGCGCAGCTGGAACAAATTCTGTATTTGATTGCAATACACACTTGACATAAATTTAAAGCAGATTGAAATCTTGTATTTGAGTGTAGTCTACATAGATGATAATTAGTTGTGAATTATTTAGCATCTGTTTGCATCTGTGCAGAAGCTTAGAAATTTGTCTTTATTACAGCCATCTACATGGCTGTGTTCATCTGATGCACATTAATATGCAAAGGAAAAATCGCTGAAGCGTGACCACTTAGGCAATTCATTGCTGTAACATTACGACAATAAGCTGACTTATAGAAGGCTATTTTCTTGGATGGTACAGACAGCATTGCTGTGCTTGCAACGCAAAGGAATTATTAATGGAGACTAGATACTAGATATTTTTAATACACTTTTTTTTTATAAGAACATATTTTATATGAACACTGAGGCTGAAAAATTAAGAACAAAATAAGAACAAATTGAGGTTGAGGTAAAATGTCAAATGAGGTCTTTATTTTGTTTTTTAATACAAAAACCAGCAAATCTACCTTATTTGCAATAACTGTTAGTATGTAATACCCTCTATAATACAGTAAAGTAATATACTGACTGTAAAATAATAATTTTTTATATTTAAAAAATGTATAAAAATAAGAATAAAATAAAAACATGTTGAGCATGAAATCGGCCTGGGCAGAATTTTACTGGTTCTATAATATAAAAAAAGTGTAGTTAATATTTTGTAGTGTTTTCTATAGAGCGACTAAAGAATCAACAAAAATAATAATGACATTTTGCTTGAATTCTTAATTCTTAGTAAACCTTTAAAGAATTTGCACATCAGATAGCTTTAAGACATCCATACAGTTTATTAATTTTTTATTTTATCTTCAGTATTACTACAATATGCCTTGGGAGTGACAGTGAGAAGTCTACTTTCACCAGAAATATGTCCCATTCCCTTATGTACAGTATTTCATATACTTACAGTATATTCTGGATGGCTCATATTATTATTAATTAATATTTTAAATATTTGATACACAGATTATTAACTAATTTGGTTTTATTGACGCTTTGGAGTTGTTTATGAACCCACCAAAAGGATATTGTTTTTTTTTATTTGTCATCCAGGATGACTGTAATTTGTATTGTATCCATGTCAATACCCTTGAAATTTCATGACCTCCATTGTTTGAAGAAAAAAATTCAAAAAATAATTAATATTAAATTACCAGTTTTAAATTTCAGGCTATTATCAGTGAACAAAGCATAAAGGCACTTGAAGAAAAAAAAAAAACAATAGATGATGGCACCATTATTAAAATAAAATATTAACCATTGTCCACAATAAGATCATTAAATCAACAATTTGAGAGGAAACTCGATATACTGTAGTGTGTACAGAGTGAAAGGAAAACTTTAAAACCAGAGGAAACTGCAATGCCACAAGTGCATCACTTTTACTACATTATGGTTATTACCTGGCATTAGGTCTAAGTGTGTGTGAGAATACTGTACTTTCAATCGTGTATAAATTTCCGTAAAACCTCGAATTTGAGCCCTGGGCTTCTTTTTTTTGCAAACTTTTTGTGGGCTTCCTTCTCGAGGTGGGCTTCTTTTCGAGATGGACTACTTTTGCAAATAAAGGAGGGCTTCTTTTGAAAATGAATGCTGTAAATTTTTGGAATATAAAACAATAAATAGGGCCACTGTAACATCAATCTGTGTCATGGAGTGTATTAACTGGCATTAAATCACCTTAACTACTGTATAAACCAAGTGTGGTTTAATTTATTTTATTCTTTGAAATTGCTATTTTGAAAAGAAGCCTAATGGGCTTCTTTTTGAGATGGGCTTTTTTTTAGGCTACTTTTGCCAATTAAAGAGAGGGGCTTAAAATTCGAGAGGGGCTTCTTCTTGAGATTAAGCCGATCGGGCTTTTCAAGGTTTTACGGTATATTCCAATAATGATTGGGAAATTTTTATATTTTTTGGAAACGATTATGTCCTATTTTAAAAAGTTTCAGAATCAAACAAAACCTATAAATTGTAAGTGAATGATGATAACATGGTGTTTACACAGCATGTAATGCTGGCCTCTATCCAGCTAAAAACAACCTCTTGCTTGGGATCGAAAGTGGTCAGCTTCAGGTTGTGATCTTAAATTCTTGTACTTAGCATACTGTAGTTGGCACAAAGCCCATTTTTCCCATAGTATGCAGTCATATAGCGAAGGACATCGAATGTACTGTAAATATAACCAAAAAGTATAAATAGAACGAGAGTCAACGACGCTCGTTCAGTACGTGAACAAACAATGCGGCCCTACGCAGCAACTGTAGAATGCCTGCTGTCGTTTTTCAGTTTTCCACATGATACGGTACTTGATTCTACTTACCAAGTCATTTATTCAGTGAATCAGGAAGAAATTCCACAGTTCTTCTGTTATAAACCCATTCACTAGACTCTCCCCTCCTTAAACACAAAATTGGGCCCGTTTTTTGGGAGTTGTCTTATACACAAGATTCCCTTTTCAATCAAAAGACAATTTTCAGCACTTTTGCCAAATTCATAGCCAATATTTGATTTTTTTTATTTTTTAAAGAAAATAATTGTTTACTCATTCAAATCGGACCCTGATCTTTTGCCCGAGGAAAGACTGGGATGTAAATTTGGGCGTAAAGTGTGGGTGAGGGGGAGGGGTGAGGGGGCTTACTGTATACTGTTCCTGAGGAACTATGGTACATTATGAAATCTGGATAATTCATAAATTATTTGCAAAGCATAGCACTATATTAAAAAAACATTTAAAATATTGAGAGATTTGGATATTTCATGGAGCCATATTGTACGTTCTACTTTCTGCTATTTACTACACTGTTGTCACTGCAGCCTTTTCATTGCACCACTTCATATTGGACAACCATGATTGGAATTTTCAAGAAGATCCCTTAAATTTACCATTTTTACTGTTTTCAATTTTGAATATCTGATGCGATGAGTCTGCTGTATGTTTTTTAACCATATTTTGACCAATAGCTCAGCAAATTCACATCTTAAGATGTGCCGTTTTCTTCCTATAGTTACTCTTTGCTACACTGCTTTCATAAGTACTGGTATTGTTTAATTCTATTGATTAATGCTCACCAATGAACTTTATGATAATAGCATCTCCCTAGAATCAGAGAAGCCGTCAGACTCCTGTAAATGTCAAATGTCAAATTCACCATGTAGAATCTCGCATCTGATAAGCCTGTATTTTACGTCTGTATCCGAGGAAGATACCGGACGAACAATGCTTGGCGACCCCTTTCCCCGGTTCGTAACCACAATTGAAAGAACAGGAAAATCTAATTTATGATAAAATTTAATTTTTTTTCATATTTTTTTGCCAGAATTTTTTGACAATTAATTTCTAAAACCAAATTACATGTTCCTTAAAATTATTTAATATATTTACAATGCTGTACTCGATTTATAATATCTTACATTGTTCTGTTAATTGATTGGAAGAAAGTTTACTTTGTCAGGAATATTTTAAGAAATAGATTGATACAATTTTCTCATTTTATTAAATATCTTTTAAATATTAAAAAAATACAGCTAAAAATGCATGTTTAATGAGATTTGATTAAACTTTATTTTACTACTTTTGGCCGTTGTATCACTTCAAAGCCATTCATGTAATACATGAATGATGGCTTGTTTTTTCTATTTTTATTTATTTTCTTAAATTTTATTTATTTATATTTTTTATTTTTTCAAAATGATTCGTGGCCTGAATACTGTCAGCCTCTTGAGACGATTTTATTG